GATAACTGAAATTTATGTAGTGTAACTTGGCAAAAAAAGAAAAAGAAAAGCATTTCCTTAGGAAATGGAAAAAAAAAAGAAGCAAGAACCTTTGAAAACAACTGGATGGATTTTTGTGCTGACTGATGACTTATTACAAGAATGCAGCTCATATAAACCTGTACTGGAAAAATTTAATTGTTAAACCTTTTTTTTTTAATTATCTATAATGGTTAATATTCTTGTATTAAAGAAAAGCGAAGAATTTATAAGTAAATAGTAGGATTTATTTTACTATGTAAAATTCATAAATTATCTGTGTGTACTAACAGAAGATAAGTTTTTAAAAAAGTTAGGGAGTTTTGTATAGCTACTGATACTTGAAAAAGTCAGTTAGGGAGATCCAAAACTCTTGTATTTATCACCAATATCATTGCTAAAATGAAGTGCCAACCCTTTAAGATAGTAATACTAATAATACTAACCTTGACTGCTGGCCAGTTGCCAGCTGTTCGTCATCCTGCAGAAATATATTATACTTGACCTGAGAAAACATGCAATTGTCCTTCCCCCTCCTTATTCCCACAAACTGGAACAGTGTTATGTTAGCATGAGTTGTGCTGAGCCGAATCCAATCTGGAATTAAGAATGCTCCAGGGCATTTTTAATAAACTGTCATTCATTTGAACTCTAACCTTCTTTAATTTGCAGAATCTGGTAATGCAGCTGTATACTGCAGCCACATTCATTTCTTTTTCTTTTCTTATCTTGGTGTGAAATGCTCCTGATAGGATTTGAAAATACGAAGCTGCAGAAGTAGGAAGTGCTCATTTAAAATAGACTCAAAACTAAGGAAGAATTTTAAAATTTGCTGGGGTTTTGCCATTCCAAGATGTAAATTTAATTCTAGTAGTGACTTTAATAAAATCCTTGAAGTGCTGGGGACAGTTAGACTTTCTGAAAGTATAAAAGAAAAGGCTTCTATTAGAAAATCTGAAGGATAAAATGAGGCCGTTGCCTTGCAAAGGGGAAAACCCCCCAGTTAATAATGTACCCGGTGCATAGAGTGCTTACTAGCAAAGAACTTTGTATTCAAAGAGGTTCTCACAGTAAACTGTTTCATAACATGAATTCTTATTAGTTCTTTAGCTGCTATATAAATGGCAGAGTTTTTGATTAGAGGTTTTTAGCCTAAGAGAGAGATAACGGGGCGAAAAGGATCTCGGGCACCAAGTGTCTGCCGGGCTGGGTCAGGAGCTGCCCGCGGGAGCTCAGGGAGGTCACCTGCCTTCCCAGCAGGTGGCGCTGCAGGGCAGGAGCCGCGCTGCGGGGGGCACGGAGGGCCCTGGGGTACGCGCATCGCCGCTCGCCGTGTGTCCGCGCGGGAGCGTTTGGAACGCTGCTGTGGCCTTAGAGCGTGTTAGTGATCAACAGCGATTACTGTGCGAGACCTGCCGGTGTGAATACAGGGGTTAAGGATGCATCTGTGATTATTACGTGGCATAGATGCCTCAGTTTGGGACACAAACGGCTGTGTGAGACAGCACAGGTAACAGGGTCGTGAATGTGAATTTCGTCTTGATCCTTTGTGATGATCAGAGAAGTATGTAAATGTGTTATTGTTGACCTGATACCTCAGCAGGGGTCTCAGTTCAATATCTAGAGAGTGAAAAAATGAAAAAGAAACTGAAAAGCAGCACTTACTGATGCTTCGGAGAGGGATAGACTCCTGGACACACCTTATTTTCTAGACGAAGTGCCCCTAAAATGCAGCAAAAGGAAGTATTTGCCATAGGTCAGAAAGATAAAATTTGTCATTAGTACTACTGGTTTTATTCCCATTTCTTACAGTAAGACTAAGAGGTAATAAATGAACATTAACCCTTAATTCCTTCCTGGTATCATTTTAATTCTAATATCAAAGACAAGAACATGTGCTTACATTCAGAATTTGGTGTATGTTTACAATGCTCCCCCCCACCCCCAATTCTTCTATCTAGGTAATACTGCCTTCAGTGTTTAAAGTTTGTTTTCTGTTGTGATATATCTGCTACAGCTATATAATAAACATGCAAAGATGATTGTGTGTGCAACATCAGCATTCACGCATTCACATTTGATAGCAGTTGATTTAAAGTAAAATAAAAATCAGTTTCTTCTGCACATGCTGCCAGTTGAATCCTGGCTGTAGGTGCTGGTTAGACAGTTAACTAGGAAAACATACAACTCTGAACTTGGGTCATACTCAAAAAGTGAAGGAAGAACTAGCTGGCAAATATTGTGTAAATGAAAGTATAACTTTCAAGTCTACACGTGTTAACGATTTGTGGTTTGAAAAAGTTTTCATATTTAAATTTTTAAAGGTTTTTTCTCTCTCCTTTAAACTTTGATCTCTTTTGGCTGGTAATACAAGAGTATGTTATTAATATACATTAACAAATCCACAGCTTTGTTTTCCACAAGTCTTTAATTCCCTGAAATGTTTTAAAATGTAACTGATGTGATACATCAGAATATAGGTGACTATTCAGTCAGTCAGCAGGTTGGGTACTAAATTCAGCTGAACCTGGAGGAAAAGGAATGCAGTGATACTGAAGATATGGAAGTGCTATTATTCTGCCTTCCTATGTTCTCATCTGCCAAACAAATCTCCAAGTGCAGAGTGACTGGGTGTTTAAAGATACTGTCTCAAAGCAAGAGTCTTTATGAATGAATGACTTTGCAGTCTTGAAAGCTTACTACTGTTTCCATTAATGTATATTGCCTGGAGTTAACTAGCAGGGTGGAGGCTCAGCAGAAACTACGAGCAGTTTTTAAAAAACACAAGGATGAGCCTGAGAGATAACCCAAGAAAACAGGTAGAAATACCATACTCTGGTTTAGTAGTTGAGCCTTGTCCTTGTTGGAGACAGCATGGGTTTGTGTTCTTGTTCTCAAACAGAAAATGGAGTATCTGGTGTTATATTAGAAATTAAGTATATTTTTAAAGAAATATGATCTCTCTCCTTATGTATTTTTTGGGGCTTTTTTTTTTTTTAATAATCCCCCCCCCCCCCCCCCCCCCGATTTAAATGCAAATCCAGCTTTTTTATTTCTTTATTTTCCTTGAGTGTATTTTCTCTTTGCTCCTTCTACTGTGAAAGTTCACTAGGTAGTCCTTTTACAAAGGTATCTAAACCTTTCATCTTTCATGGTTTGTTTTAGTGGAATCTTGCACCTGCACGGACTCTGCTGCGTAATTTTCACTCCTCGCTATTTCATTTGTATCAGTATTATGCTGGTTTTACTTTCTGGGTGGAAGGTTGAACATCAGTAGTTTCAACGCTATTGGTAATTCTGATTCTGCATTCATGATTACAACTTCTTACACATGAAGGGTGTCAGATGTTTTCTTGTATTCCATTTATCTTATTAGAATATTTATTAAGATGCAGATGCAGCTGCTGTAGAAGGGGTAAGTAATCAGTATATAATTTTCAAACAGGGTGTGAGTACTCATAATTAGATGAAGACTGCATTATTAATTTTGCTATATTGAACCTGTTATATAGGTTTTCAAATTGAAACAACAATAATGTGGCTTGTAAACAGTGATTGCATGCCATTAGAATTTAGATAACAACAACAAACAAAAATTAAGCATGAAATTTGAAAAAAGCATCTTCTTTTCTCTGTAGCCACACTGACATTCACTGATAGCCACAGTGAAATATTGACAGACTTTTCAATACACTAGCAAAAGTGAACACTTTTAAATGGCTTGCATGACATGAACAAGTGTTCATGTCTTCCATTACATTTTATTCAGATATTCTTCCTGAAGTGTTTACTAATTTAGAAGATATTAATATTTGGACAAAAGAGGTGAGAAAGAAAATACAGGAAATAGGACATCCATTATTTAAATCATTAAATCTCATAAAAAACTGAAGTATATCTGTTATTTACTTGCAGCTCTTAATGTAAACTGTATCATTTGAATAGCGGGAAATCATACTGGTGTCCTGGTTACCAGAGACTATTCATGACCCTCTAGTTCTGTGAATATGATGATTCACCCCACAAGTAAATTTCCTGCTGCCAGACAGGTGTCTTTATGCAGTCTCCATTCTTTAGTGTGTTCTCTAAAGAATGTGATGGACCATATCATACACTTTTTTTTGGTTTTATTTCTGAATTCTGTTTTCCGAAAAGAAGGTTTGCTGAATTCCTGCAGTAAGCATTTTATCCTACATCCAGTTGACATTTACCAGTGCTAATTGAAGAGTGGCATCACCCACACTTTCCTACATTTCGTACTTCAGAGATTCTCACAGTTGTAAATGAGGAAAATAACTCAATAACTCAGTTATCACTAAAGCAGTAACAGATATTTAAAGTTCAGAATCGTAGAATAATTTGGGTTAGAAGGAACCACTAGAGGCAATGTGGTCTAAAACCCTACTTCTAAGAGGAATATCTTTGAAGTTGGATCAGGTTCTGTAGGCTTGCTTCAGTCAAGATCTGTTACCCAAGGACTGGCGAGCCTACAGGTTCCCAGGGCAACCCATTCTGCACAGAAGGTTGTGTGCTTTTAATGCAAAATATATCGATTGTCATGACCAGTTTTATATTAAAATAAATACCTATATCTGCATCTAAAATTTCTGGAATTACTATTATGCTGAGTTACCACTACCCTGGATTTAAATAATATAAGTGGCATAGAAAATATTTATAAGTTGCGTCTCTATGTGGCAGTGGCCCAGGTTAAATAGATTTCTGGTGATCTGTTTTAGTTCTGTTTTGTATAAATGATGCTTGTTACTCAATGGATTCAGGGAAATATTAAGATTTTTTGGTATTTAAAAGACTATTTTTGTTCTGTTTGAAAACAGCTAAGACAGGAATAGATTTGAACAGCCATTTATCTTCGTTCCTTCTGTGTAGTTTTATTTGGGGTTTTTTTTCCCCTGTATCTATACAGATTTAAGACTTACTTACTGTAAAGAATATAGAGCTTAAAAAGTTCTCTTTCTTAGGTAGAAGAGCTGATGAATGCACTGGAAAAGACTAGACAAGAATTAGATTCTACCAAAGCACGTCTTGCCTCAACACAGCAGTCTTTGGCTGAAAAAGAAGCACATCTGGCTAACCTGAGAATAGAGCGAAGAAAACAGCTTGAAGAAATTCTAGAAATGAAGTAAGTACATTGATTTCTCTGATTTCTAGAAAAATTAAAATTACTGCTTTTTTGCTATGAGAAGGGGTTTTTTTTCCTGGATTTGTTTTGTTCTATTTGTGTGAAACTAAGGACTTCTAATAGTATAAGGCTGTTAAATTTTTTTTAACATATGGAAAGTCTTCATTTTAGAAGTACTCGACAGTTGACACGAGGAGTATTTTTTGAAAGCTGTCCTTTGTTACATGCAAATAAAATATCAGCACAATATAACTTTAATGAGAAATTGAGAGTCTAAAGCCCCATCTACAGTGGGAATTCTATGTTGGAGTTTCTGTTAGTGTCAAATCCATGTAAAGGGTTATTAACTTTATGTGCATGGTGCAAAGTTTACTGCATTGAATTTGTTAAAAAATCCCCAAACCCAATTGCATACACATTATCACTATGTATATGTGTAGAGAATGAAGGAGGAGGATAGACCTATAATTTAAATCTAACCTCCTACCCACAATAAAGGTAAATATCTGTAATTATGGGATGTTAAAGCTCTGACATGATCATTAAAATCTGCAAAAACGAGTAAACCTGTTGTGACTTGGCTAGGCTGGTGTGTAGTTAACATTCAACAAAGAAAATTCACGGTTGTAATTTTGAAAATATTTTATTGAGGGAGTTAAAAATAAAGCCCAAACGCTTAAGCCATATATAACTTCAGTTAAATTGTAGATATTCTTAAATTTAAAAGGAAGGTAAATAATCAGAAAAAATTGTTTTAATAATGTTGTTGTAAATAAGACAGATTGGAAATGGAGACATATGTACTAGAATTTCATAAAGGTAGGTTTTAAGAATGGCTGACATGTGGGTGCAGAAATACTGCCATAGAAGCACAGATGTTTCCAGTGAAATCAAAAGAACTTCTGCTTTGACTTTTATGAGGTCTATATGTATTAAAAAAATAGGAGCACGTATGAATTGGAGTAGTATATGGCATTATGTTCTACAATAGATACGTATTTTTTTTAGTTTTCTGTTTTTCTTTTGTATGCACATATTAATACATGTATGATGCTCATTGCCAGTATATTTCATGGAGTCATCTTTTCTGTATAATGCTTTGGTCTGTTTCTTTGAGTGCGTGCTTGGTTTTTGTCCAAATGGTAAGATTTGTTTTTCATTTTTGATTATAATTATCAATTATTGAGTAACATAAGAAAAAAAGAATCGGTATCTTTAATTCTCTTACTATGATTTCTTTTTAGTTGGGTACACAGAACCTCACAGAAAAACTGTGAAATTCTGGGAAGGGAGTTTGGCAAGAGCTGGTGAAGTTTGACTTTGGTTTTGATAAAAGCTGGTCCATTTATGAATAAAGGGTGGTGGTACTATGGTGAAAGACCCAGTATCAGTGGTCTAAATTAGAAATATTTTGGAATTTTAAATGAGCTATAAACATACAGTGTGCTTTTAGAGTATACATTTGTAAAGTAAAATAGTAACATCAGAAGAAAATTTTAAATCAGGAAATCAAATGAAATTAGTAAAGATTTCTAATTAAATGTGTGTTGGTTTTGGGTGTGGGTGTAGTGTGGGTGTTGTTTTTTTTGTTTGTTGCTTTTGCTTTCCTGGAGCACCTCTTCTGTGAAGACAGGCTGAGAGAGCTGGGCTTGTTCAGCCTGGAGAAGAGAAGGCTCTGGAGAGAACTTAGAGTAGCCTTCCAGTACCTCAAGAGGCTGACAAGAATTTTAGATGAGGGCTTTTTACAGGAGCATCTAGTGACAGTAAGAGGGGGAACGGCTTTAAACTGACAGAGGGAAGATTTAGATTAGACATTAGGGAGAAGTTCTTCCCCTGTGGTGTGGTGAGGCGCTGGCACAGGTTGCCCACAGAAGCTGTGGCTGCCCCATCCCCGGCAGTGGTCCAGGCCCGGTTGGTGCACTGGGAGCAACCTGGTCGAGTGGAAGGTGTCCCTGCCCGTGGCAGGGGGTTGGAACTGGATGAGCTTTAAGGTCTCTTCCAACCAAAACCATGATATGATTCTATTAGGAAATGTCTTTTAGCAATAATTCAGATATTTCATTACAGCAGTTTAATTTTTGATATTGCTCACTGAAATAGGTGTATGACAAACAAACTTCATAAAACTGCTGCTGCTGCATTACCACAGAATATACTACATATAGCATTACTTTTTCATCACCCCTCCCCCCCCCCACA